CATTGATGGCATCAGTGCTCCCAATAATGGAGGCCAGACGATGATGCACAGAATTCCATAAAGAGGCTTCAGAGCTAGAAATAACATACAAAAGCATGGTAATGTAACATGGATCAAACATTCTGAGTACCTCAAATTAAAGTCTGAAATATTTTTTTTTTGTAAGTATAACCATAACAGGTAAAATAAATAAATAAGTTCTTGATTTGTCATAAACTACAACCCAGAACTGAGCAAGATTCAAACAGAACTCATTAAGTCATTTCTTGTTATCCCTTTCTCTCTTTTAGCTAATTTTTTTTTTCATTGCAAGCCTGTTTTACCAACATTTAACACAACCAAACAAGAATAACTTCACATCAAATAAAAAAATGTAAAATGGGTCATTCCTCTAAAAAAAAAAAAGTGGAATTACGCATGTGTTTGATTCAAAGGAAGATAATTTCTTTTTGGGCTTCCACTCCATTCACCAACTTCCTGAATTTGCAAATAGYAATTTTTGCACAATAGTGTCTAATTACACATTCAGCATGCTGAGAACAAAATATGCATTGAAASCATTGTGAAAGAACCCAGTTAACAGAAACACACATGTCAATGTTAATATTGTCAATGTTTTACTGCCAACGGTTATTTAATCTCAGTATTTCTGGGTTGTGTTTTTTCTTGTTTAAGTTTGTTTTGTTTTTTGTTTTTTGTTGTTTTTTTGTTGTTGTTGTTTTGTTTGTTTGTTTTTTTTGATGGTGGAAATATTTTAAGCAGAAAAGCTGCAGAAAGATCCATCCATAAACACATTTAATCTCTTTTATCCAGCCCATTTACATCTGGATGTCAGAAGAGTGATTAAATGGAAAGTTTTGACTTAAATAATTGGATAAATTACTATGTACAGGTAGATACCTAGTGTAGTATTTAAATTGTATGTAACAGGTGTAACCTGATACTTACCAGGTACCTACCAAGTTATGTACCTGGTAAACTTTAATCTATTTACAGTACACCTGAGTATATAATTTACATGTACTCAGCTCTACTGCTCATCCTACAAATACATGTTCCTTACAAATGTGCCACCATTTAAAAGGGAGTTTAACGTTTCCCAAAAGTATAAAACACAAATTTACTTGCTGTGCTAAGTTTATTAATTGTTAAGTTGTTTAGTTAATTGTTACCACAAACCTTTGTGGAAATGAAATGACTTCTTTTGTTACCCTGTCCAGGCTTAGCATCAGTATRGAGGGAAATGTGCACTGTAATAACAACTGGAGAAACAAGACACGCTGCTGCCTGTGGCGGAGAAGGATTACGCAGCTTTTCTCAGAAACGCCAGTGAATGTGCWCCAAGTGCTGCCACCTGCTTTAATATTCAGGGCATAGTCTGAATAAAAATTGAGTTTAATTGGGAGAGAAAAACAACAGAGCGTGTGCGGATTATGCATAATCACAATAATTATGTCCCTCTGCGCATTGCATACTTTGAGGTGAGTATTCACCTATTTCTAATTAATGCATCACCTTGGAGGAAATAAAAGGACACGTAAATTACTCTTAGAGATGAGTCATTTGAGGGAAAGAGGATAAAAGAAAAAAAAAACAAATTTTCATTTTGATTTAACAAATTCAGTATGAGTGTAAACTACTTACACCTTTTAGCTTTCCAAAAATAACACCAGTTTTTATTACTTTGTAAAACACCTTATTATTTATCAGTGCAGTTGTCATTCTATATTAAATGGACTTCAGGCAAAAATGCTTTCCTCATGGAAATGCTTAGTATTTGATATCATAATTTGTATAAAACAGGTGTTTGAGGTTTAGAAGCAAAGCGTGGATGATGCCAGGTTGCCTCATGATGCCAAAATCAGACACCTTGAACTCATTTGCTGCTGCTGATTTTTGATTTGACACAGTAAAAACAAGAGCATTACCTCAAATTGAATTATTTTCTAATCGACCCTCCTGATCTGGATGCAGTCCTCAGTATTCCTCTGCACTGCCAACTTTTTCATTTATTTTAATTCACTTATTGGCTAAACAGGAACGCCAGCCTTTCTTAATCTGATCTCCATAYGCTTCAATTGGGTGTGACACTTTACAACTCAGAGTGTAAAACTGTATTTTATAAAGTTGAAACTAAACAACGTGTAGCTTTTAAACTCAATACAAAATAACCCATCTATCAATTTTATAAACGTGCTAGATTGGCAAGAATTTTGTTTTTTAAATAGACTAATTAGTAATATTTGTGTCTTCATGAAGGGAACAGGTAGAGTGACCTTGGCAGGATGGGATGACAAATAGGTTGTATCACGCAAACAGCATCCGCAGAAGTCACTTTGTGCATGGGCTCTCATGCTCTTTCCATTTTAAAAGTACATTAGAGCTGATGGCAATGGCATATCCGAGGTTCCCATGCTTTCTTCTAGTACAGTTCTATGGACTTAAATCCATTAAGAAAGTAAACAAAGGCTCAATATCAAAAGGAAGTTAGAGTTGCACGGCACGTTGTTGCACGTTATTTACTTTTTGCAGCATTTTGTATTGACATCCTCTGATTGAACAATTCCCAGGAAGAATGTTGTTCTTCTTAAAAAGGGGTTCAAATGTTAACAATGGCATTTGTATGATTTTTTTATTATTTATTTTATTTTATTATATCTTTTTTTGGAATCAGCACACAAGTTCACATTGATTGAAGAGGACAGCACTATAAGGAAAAGAAACCTGTTATAGGTGCATGAGCGTAGTGCGTGTGAGCACTTTTCCACATTGCTGACGTTAGATTGGGTGTTCTGATTAATCCTTTAATCAGCACCATTAAGTCTCCTGGAAACACAAAGTTCAGCACTTTTCCTCAGACTAACAACGCAGATGTGTGAAGCTGCGTCAGTTTGATCCAGCATCAGATTAGTGACGGACCACCATTTCTTTGTAGCTCAGTAACGACACTGAACTGACAAGCAATGAGCCTGCTGTGAATTCAGCACAGTGTGTTAGCAATCCTGTCCGGTGCTGATTCCTCTATTTCCATTATTTTTTTCATTTATTTAATCCTGTTAAAGTCAGTGCTTTGACCATGATTCAACTGTTTAACTACACAAACCAACTAATCAATCACTCCCTTTATTAACAGTCATCTGTGCAATCAGAAATGCACGCTGCTTCCTTCAACACACTGATCCATCGTGTCGCTGTAAAAACAGGCTTGTGTAATAAACCCCGCACTGGCTGCTCCAGGATGGTCAATAAAAGTCCAGGCTGAAATGCATTTAGATACCCTGAGTGAGCATCTCATCGGTCATTCTACTGCCCACAATTTGTGAGGAAACACGAGGCAATCAATACAAGGACCATTAGGCTTAACAAACCAGGTTTGTCTTTAAACTGCCTGCAGGCACTCCAGGATAGCCTGACTACATATAAAAGGTTACTGGCAGGTGGTTTGTGCAAAGCAGGATGAAGGTTTGATTTGACACACTATCCTCTGACA